GACGGTCCGCTGAGAGGCGCCGGGGCCGAATGCCTGCTGGGAGCTCCGTGCCGTCCTCCTGGCTGCTTTCTCTTTTGTAAACTCCGGGGCCGTTTCGTCTGGCGTGAGAAATGTCGGCCGCGAGTCCCCGAGAGTGGTGCCGTTAAAGGGCCGTAGTTAGGTTATGCTCCTTAGGGTGCTTCTCTCCCGAGACAACTGATTCTGCGCGTGTCTTGACTTCTTAGACTACTTAAAGTGGCTGTACAAATATTTTGTTGTCTAATAAATGCTTTGCACGGTTTCTGGTGACTCGCTTGTGGCACGTGACAAATACGTGCAAAGGGCTGGCTTCCCTCGGTGGGAGAATCTCAAAACTGAGAAACCTGATTTTTGCTCCTCGTATGTGTTCACTGGTAAAATCATGTTTTCTTGCTCATCTTGAGCTTTCAGTGCTTTTTTTTTTTTTCCTCTTACGTTTTGTATGGACTAGCTTTGGAGGTCTCTGAATCCATAGGAGGCAGTGGCTGGCTGAACGAGACACAACCCTTTTGGCAAAGCTGCATAGAGTTATGGTTCTCGTTAATAATCTGCTTCTGGTAATTAACTATGGGAGTTATCCAGGGAGTCAGACTGAGAAGTCATAAGAATTTTTATTAAGGCTCTTAAGTCAAATGTGGATTTATGTCAGATATTACAAACTACATGTTCAGCCTCATTTATGTCCATTTCTGAAATGCCTTCTACAAGCTGGCCCAAAAGAGAAAACATTAATTTGGACAGTAGTACATGAAGGGCCTTAGAATTCCTTACCAAAACTAATTCTTAAGCAGGCTTCAACTGAAAGCGTTCCTCAATTTACCTAAACCTCGAGATGTTATTGCTGTTACAAGTATAAACGTAAAATGATTTGCCAAAGTTTTACTACTTTAGGAAGAGATGGGGACAGGTTCCTCAGTTGGAATGTGTCTTGCTGCCTGTGCCACTAGCTTATATGACTTGCAGCTGCTTCTGTGTGGGAAATGCATGCACAGAGGATAATGTGTCCCCGCCATCCATCTCCTCCTATGGGGCTGACAGCAGGTGTTTATCTCCCTTTTTTGTTCAAGGGCTGTTTGAGGTAAAAGGGGCATGACTGGCCTCTGTGTCAGAGGCAATTATTGAATTGCACTTGCTGCTTGAGAAGCACTTCCATCAGTGAGGAAAAAATAAAAATCATTTGATGATTTGGGTAGGTGGATATCAGGTGCCTTGCACATGGCAAAAACTGAGTAGGCAAATTCAGACTGTTAAAGAGTATGTAAGGAATGTAAGAAGTTAAAGATTTGTCTGGCATGACTGTCTACAGATCTATTTCACAGACTATAGCAGCTGATAAGAAAAGGCTTGTTCTGGTTTTGTTTTTTAAAAGGATCCATGTAATTCTCCTGCTTTTCTCCAGATAAACTGACCTAGCTCTGTGTGTATGCTTATAGGCATCGCTAAGAAACTGAAGTCTGTTTTTGCAAGATAGGGAGTTCCTGATGTCCCCTTATCCCAGGTAACAGCCCTCGGTTTGCATCTTGACACATTTCTGGATCTGTAGGGAGTCCTGACTGGTCTTGAAGATGAGGGCACAACAAATTCAATGACAAAAGCAGAAAGACCACTGATTTTTAAAATGTAAAACTGCTAGTTGAATCCATAACAGTCCTTGCAATCAGTTAGTTTTGCAGATTGGGAAGAAGATCCAACGTAGTTCTTGTTGGTGTTGATACACTGTGAACCCAGATAGTTGAAGCTGAACTTACTTGCAAAATTAGATGCTGAAGCAAATTAAACATCGGTCAGCAATATTTCAGTATTAAGAGTGGAGTAAAACCACTAGAAGAACTGAGGCCTGGGCCCAAAACATGATTGAAGTCTTCCTGGACAGTAGGATATCGTCACAATAGATCATAAGGATTTTATCTTGATATTCTGATGGGTAACTACCTAGTTCCATCACTTTAGATCAAGGGTCAATCTCGGGGTCAGGGATTCTTAATGACTATAAAATACCTCTAGTAGATTCTTTGACTTGAGACAAATGGCAACAACAACAACAAAAAAGAATACTGCTCAAGTTGCAGCATTTTTTCTTAATTTTTAAGTCTTGGATCATGATACCTTCTCTAAAAACCACAGATTATTCTTCATGTCCCTGTCCTTGTAATAAAATTACAGTAAGAGTAGAAAGTTATTATTCGGTTAAAAAATCTTTATCATCTGTTGTGAGGATACCTTCTTAAATTCAGTTGATAGTGAAGATACCAGTACAGGTGTGTTAAGTCCAGCATACTTTGTTCATATTAAGTCAAGAATGTATTGCTTCAAACTGTCAGGAAAATTACGGTTTAACCAGGTGTTAGTAGGCCAGATTGGTGTGTCTAATTATGTCAGTCCTCCCACCTTTTGTCTGTATTAGTAAGCAACCAGTTAAGGACAGAAGTCATTTCTCCCTTGAGACACTGGGATTATACAATAGGGCTTTACCCTGGCAGGTGTCTGGACTTTTCTGCAGCACAAGTGGTAATGATCTGTGTTCTCATGAACTTGGTGTTTCTTCTAAACAGCTCCAATCCTTTCTACCCCAGTGCCTTCTATCACTCAATTCTCCCCACATCATCTTCAAACTAGCTACCCGTTGTATGGTTCAACAAAAAATGAAGTATTTTTGTTATGTTTCCAGACATGATACTGCTTCTAAACAAAGACATCTGA